TTGTTTCTTCTCCTCTCTTTGTTGAACTTTCATTTCCACTCTTTCTCTCTACTTACCCATTTTTTCCTGTTTCAGGATCATGTCTGGAAGTATTGACTTTGTTGGGGTCAGAAGCTTCATTCCAGGTGCAGCAGAAAAGGAGTTCCAGCGGGTGGGTGGCAGGGCACAGTGTGGCTGGGCCCGCCGGGGTGGTGGAGGCGGATGGGCAGAGCACCCACCCGTGGAAGGGCACAGAGGTTGCATCTCCATGTATAATGTGTATTTACATGTGCAATGTCACCTCATCTTTTCTACAACCCTACACATCCTTATTATTAGGTCCATTTAACAGATGAGGAAGGAAAGGCACAGAGCATGTGCATCTATACTCCAAAATCGGCATAGCGTTGGAGCACAAACTCCGTGTGGGTCTTCTGATTCCCACCTGTGACCGCGTCCATGCTCCATGCCATCAAAGCCATTCTACCTGAACAGAGAAACGTCATCAGTTGCTAGGGATCCAAGGGGAGTTCCATTCCGATAGCATCGCACTTCAGTGATGGACTGTCTGAAAAAGATGGAGTCCTCTCATGTGAAAACTGGTCAGCAAGGCACCATTGGGGAGTTACTTGGGGGGCACTAGCTTTACTGTAATGTTATGGTGATATTAAATCAGCAAGAAGGCATCTAAAATAATATATAGTTTAGGTACTACTCCTATATTTTAATTTTCTTCAGCTCACTGTTTTTACATGAATTGCTTATTTATATATTAAAGTTTCAATGAGTTTAATGTTTTTTCACATATATGCCTAGTCCCATATATATTTCTGTATCTTCTACAGGGGGTTCTGTCTTAGCCAGGCTAACTTGGCTCTTTTAACACTGATTCTCTTTGACCCCATGGGGACCTGAATGCGGAGCTATTAATGAAGTCATATAAAGGAATTTGCTGGGAAGATGGCTGCAGAGCACCTAGCTCTGGGCCACACACAGAGAAATCTCCAGAGATAATGATAGTGTCTTTCACTGAATTAGCAATTTAGCCAGTATGCTGGGTACTAGCTGCTCCTTTTCCTTGATGGTGGTAATAGTCCAAAGTAACCCCGCCGTAGTATGTGCAAGGGTCAAACCTGGGTGCACCGTGCTGAGGAATCATTGATTTCTGAGAATATTTGCTCTCTCAAGCTAGAAATTACAAATGCATTTTGCAATTATGCAATTTCTAATTACATAATGAACTTATACAGGCTACTGTCCAAGAACGCTCTGTATTATACAGATTCCAGGTTCTACTGAAAGCATAGAGTAAAATGTAACATTATTTCTGAGAACCAAGGTATGAACAAATCTTTACCCAAAACACTTGCAATTTAACAAATACCTTTGTTGATAGAATACCTCAATGAGGAGGGATTTTAATAAAATTAAATGCCAAATAATATATTTTTCCTTTGAGCAATAAGCATTTTCCTCAACAAACTTATGTGAGACCTAATTTGAAGTGTGCATTAGAGTGTGGGGTCTGGCAACTGGCAGCTTTTAGGTAAATAAAATGAATAGAAATTATAGAGTGAGAGATATCAATAGTGAAGACAATCCTATGCCTGGTTAATAATCTAATTATCACTGTACTCTTTTTTTTAAAGATTTTATTTACTTATTTATTTATTTGAGAGGGGGCGGGTAAGGAACAGAGGCAGAGGGAGAAGCAGATTACACCCTGAGCACAGAGCCCAATGTCGGGCTCAGTCTCATGACCCTGAAATCATTACCTGACCCGAAACCAAGAGTCGGAATTTCAACTGACCCAGCTACCCAGGCGCCCCATCACTGTACTCTTGATACAAGTATATTCTTATATTGAATTCTCTGTAAATGAATTTTGAGTTCTATAAAGTTACATTTCATTCACTTACAAGAAAGCAGATGGGGCGCCTGGGTGGCTCAGTCAGTTGAGTCTGCCTTCAGCTTGGGTCATGATCTCAGGGTCCTGGGATCAAGTGTGGCATCAGGCTCCCTGCTCGGCGGGGAGTCTGCTTCTCCTTCTCCCCCCACCCCACGCTTGTGCTCTCTGTCTCTTTCTCTCTATGAAATAGATAAAAATCTTTAAAAAAAAAAAGAAAGTAGATAGCATCCTGTTGTGTGAAACAACAGATAAGACAGGAATAACGTACTCTCACGAATATCACCTGCCTTAGTGACTTAGTTAAAACCCACTTCGAACAGCTGTTATTTTTATGATCTCACCCATCATTTCAACAGGATTATCATTATTTTAGATTTTTCTTTTTAAGAGGCATTTTTCCTTGACTACTTGACTCTTTCTGTTAAGTATATTTTAAGTGTCTTTCCTAAACTCAGATTTCTTCCCCCAAGTACAGATGCATTTTATTTGATTTGTAGATGCTCTGTAGTTTATCTTTGTTTGTTCTCCCTAGAACTATATAATTTTAGAGCTTTCAGAGCTTCATATTTGCTGTTACTGATATTCAATAAGTACCCAAGAAGAAACGTCAAATAAATGGAAAATTAAATTTCATATAGTTAATATGTTAAGTCCTAAAGTGACATAGCATTAAAAATAGGAGGGCATAATAGACAGATGTAAATGATCACACTTTTCCTGAAATATTAATAGGCTTTTAATCTTGTCATTATCAAGAGCTTTGTGCCCTTTCTAAGGTGAATTAAGCATTGTTCTTTATCACAGGATTTGACTAAAACTTTAATTATTGATATAATTCAGCCCTTTTATAACATAGCTCATTATTCAAGTCAGATCCACTAATCTATATTGAGCACCTATTTTCCATTGGAACTGTGCAAGGTGCTTTGGGGACACAAATTAAAAGCAAAAGACAAAATGTCATAATCTTTGGGCTTTTTGATGTGTCTAGAGAGATAGTAGTCCAAAGATTACCCTTTAAAATATTATAATTACATATTGCAAAAATATGAAATGACATGTAGAGCTTATACTTAATGGAGGAGACAGATTCACAGATAGTTCTAATGTTGTATAGTTCTTTTTTGTTTCAACTGGTGAGCTGCTTGGGTGATAAGGAATGGCACTCAACTAGGGTTCAGGAGGATATCACTGACCAAGCAATGCTGTATCTGCTTCTTAAGAGAGTTTCTGGAAGCAATGTAAGTTTGGAAGGCTTTGGGGGAACAAGGTCACATGAGCAAGATAGATCTAGGGTGTGGGATGCAGAACCCTAACTGATGTAGGAGCTGGGTAAAATGGTTGCAGATGAGGCTGGAAAGCTGAGGGTGACCTTACCTGCATTCATTGAATTTTACTAGGCTTTGTTGTGGTAACAACTTACAAATATTGGCCACTTAACCAACTACAAGTTGATTTTTTGATCAGGTGGTCTGCTAGATATTGAGACAAATCTCCAGCATTCTCACACAATACAAAACATCACACTGGCATTCCAGCACAAAGGACAGACCCCAGAATACAGGATTTGGAGAGAAAAACAGATTTTCTAACCGAGTCTCATCTTGTGGGAGAGCACCTGTCCAGGGCACACGGACTACACTGGACCAAAAGAGTGGCCAGTTCCCGAGCTATCACAAAGGATCGCAGTGAGAAGGCTTATAAAACTGTAAGTCCTCTCCTACCTTACCACCCCCACCGCCTCCCAGGGTGAGGACAGGTAGAATTCCTTAGGGAAATGGGGATGGTTTTCAAGTTGCTTTAACTTGAATTTCAAAAGGCATCTGGGTTACTATTAACACAATGCCAGACTTGAAGGATGGTCTCAATCAAGGTTTGTTTTCCCTCCTCTCCTGCCCCGACCAGGGTTGAAGAAAAGAAAACAAATTAGCTGGCAAAGTAAAATGACAGCAATTTCAAGGCACAAGCAAGCTGTGCATTTGATAATCTAGGTTTTAGGGAAGGATGTAGCAATTTAGTGCGTTACAAGTCAACAGGAAGTGATTTTTTTTTATTTTTACAGAGAACTGCAACAATTTTTATTCTTAAAATTTATTAAGCAATCTATCATATCTCTACTATGAACATCAACACTTGCCAGACTTCATGACTAAGGGCTCGTATTTTAATGTCTGGTTTCCGATCCTGGTTATAACTTCCTCAAATCCAAGAGCCTTGTATTGCATCCATATATTTGCTGTCGTGTAAAGATGCTCATAATTCTCTGTACATCTTTAGGGATGGTGGTGATGAGGGGTCAATAAGAGTCTTATTTTGCCTTATTTATCGTTTGAAGTGCTATGGTGGTTTTCCTGTTCATCTTAGACCTAGTTTGGGGATATTTTAAACAAGAATTGTCCTTAAAATTACGAATATCTGGGACACATGTGGACTTAGCTTCCGGTCTGAGCTATAAGGGAGCAGGGCAGTGTGCAGCTGTATTTTAATAGCATTATGTGTTAGAAAGATAGTTAGGGGGAAAGTGAGGAGGAACATTTTAATCTAATCATGAATGTCCTTAATCAGAGCCCTGCCTTCGGCAGGAGGTTAACATTAGGGAGATGGAACAGAACCACGAATACAGACTCTACCTCATTAGAGAAGAAAAGCAGAGGAAATGATGTCACTGGCAAACCATGGGATGCAGGATGAGAAAGCTCCAGAAAGCGATGCTGAAAAGAATACTGGGGAAAGGGTACACAGGCGAGGACCCTCAGCAGGACAAGAGCTAACTGAGGGAAGAAAGTGCCTTGATTTCCGCTGCCTCCCAAATGTGCTGATTAATTCAGTAGGCTTCCAGTGTCATGAAATGGAGCTCAGAGACACTTCAAGAAAGTTGGACTAGGGAGAATTAAGGGATTAATAATAATATTAAATAGGTTACGACTTTTTTTTCTTTTTTGGTCCACATGCATGCACTGAATTATTTTGAACCATCACTTATTTTTTAGCTTGGGAATATAATGAACATTGAATTTCTTAATTCTTTAGGAATATCATGAGGGTGAAGAGACTTATACTCATGAGTTTCCCTAAACACACAGTTAGCTTTTCTATTTCTGCTTTCATGCAGGTTTGCCTTCTGCCTGCCTCATCTCTAAGTCCCAGTTCAAAGGCCACCTGTCATCTGGATCACTCTTTGATCCCCTTTGATCCCCACAGAGAAGGTGAGTAGTATGTGTCTATGTGTATCTATTATAGTTGTTACAAGGTAACCCTAGAGTTAATAACTTATGTTTCCTTTTCCTGTGAGGCTCGCTAGGGTAGGGATGATGTCTTGTAGTTACTTTGATTTCCCAGGGGATAGTGTGGTGCATAAACAGAGTAAGAGCTTAAGAAACATAAGGAGAGAAAGTCAAGATCTTGAGCAGAAAGAGGCCTTGAAATCAGAATCACAATGGAAGGGTTTTACTTCATTGAGTCTCAGTGGTCTGCTGTTTGGATTCGTACATTGAAACTCAGCCTCCTCTCCCCAGGTCTGAGGCGAGGGTACCTTAAGCTGGGGCTCAGAAACTCAGGTCTTGTGGTGGGGGTTTGTGGATAGAGAGATTTTGGTGTGACAGTAGCTGTAAAAGGAATGGGTTTAGGCACCAAGAAAACCCACCCTGTCTTTGAATCTGGTCCGGCCCCGTTTCTTTCTTCAGACGACCCCCTCTGGTTTCTCTGTCCTCCGACAGAAGGACCGTCTTAATGGTCATGATCACAGCCCAAGGCAGAATGTTGTAAAATAGATATTGGTTCAATTATGAATAAAGAATAAGAACCACAAATGAAACACAAACAGCGAATAAAACCAAATACCAGGTAAAACAAAGAAACAAATTTCAAATAATAATTGATAACATGTCAATATGAGAATTGGCACAGCCTTGCAGGTGTTTATGTAATATAATTTGCCTATGATCTCTCCAACAAAAGCAGAATACTTCTATTTTTGCCTACATAACCACTTTTGGCTTCCTTTGCACAAACAAGAAGAACGAATATTATTATGATCTCTTAAGGCTTAAGTGAGATTTTGCCAAAACCAACAATGAGCTCTGGTCACAATTAGCTTCCCTTCATCTCACAAGTTTCTAGGGCTGTTGGAAAATTACTTTTTGAATCCAGGTTAGATCTCACATAGAACATGGAAATGTACTCGAAAAAGATATAATCTCTGGGTAAACTGCTTCCTCGTGGTAGTAAACTCAACTCTCCGTTCTGTTATGTAAGCCCTCAGGAATTCCCACTTATCTGGGCCCCAACTTTAATGAACCTTTGAATGTCACTGATCGATCAGACACAAAAGACTACTCAATCTATAATTCCATTTACACATTATTCTAGAAAAGGCAGAATTGTATTGGCGGGAAGAGGAACAGGGGTTCTCGGGACAGGCTGGAAAGGGGCATGAAGGCACTCTTGAGGTGATAGAAATGTTCAATATCTATCATGTGGTGGTGGCTAAACGACTCCATGCATCTGGAAACTTCATCAAATCAAACACTTAAAATTAGTCATTTTTATTGTAGGTCAATTCTACATCAACAAAGCCACTCAAATCTAATGACCAAGTTGGGTACATGATAACCTGTGACTCTTATAGTTCATCATTGCAGGTTCCTTATGTTTCAGGGTTATGTTCTGAAGAAATTTAGAAAACTCAAGTGTTTCTCACTCTATCACAGGCAATAATATGGGTGACAATTGAGTTAAAATAAAACCAGTTTTTAGAGTAAGCAGTTAAAGATGGGGAGGTGTGGAAGAAATGTAAGGAGTAGAAATTAGTATAATCCCTGCCTTGTTTTCTGGAATAAGAATTGACAGCATTACTAGTGCCTGTGAGGTTACCGACTTCCAAAGCTTTGCTTTTTTGTATCGATTAATCCATTGTGTGTGTGTGTGCACACATGTGTGCACACTCAAGCACTGTGTAGTGGAAAAAACATCAGAACTAGGGTCCCAGTTCCACCCCTTACTGGCTGTGTGGCCTTGGAAAGATCATTTATATTTCTGAGCCTGTTCTGAAAGGAGGCATAATGGAATTAAAAACAAAATCCTAACACCCAATATTGTGAGAGGTTCAAACGACAGCGTTCTTTTTACCAACAAAGTAATAATGCCATGAACCAAATCCTTGGGAGTTCATGGCCTTGGTGTGAAGGGGTCGTGTACTTGTCTTCCAGCCCTCAGTAGAGCAGGTGCGAGTTATGCCATGTGCTGACATTGACGCTGTTTGTCTGTCTTCTTGTTCTCACAGCTAGTGACACATTTTAATAATCTGCCTAATGACTTCAGGTGTTGATTTCTATGAAGCTATACCTCTGTCGCTCTCATCCTCTTAAAATAGACAGTGTTATAAAAGCTTATTAAAGAGTGTGCCAGTTTTGAACTCACGTTAACAGAATCACCAAGGGGAAACTCTCTATTTCTCAGAGGTGAATACTTCGGTTTGTGGAATAAAGTCAAATAGAAAATAAGTATAAATATGAAATGTACGTATCTTTCTATTTCTCAATCTATTATCACAATACATTTTGCGGTTTTGCCCCATTCTCCTTTCATTTTAAGTAGGCCATGTTTCAGGTAAATTACTGAAATTACTATTTCTTATCCTTGCCCCTTTTGCTCAACAAAGATTTCCCTTCCTCACATGACTTTCCAGTGGGTAACACCTTCCTCAGCCCATAAGCCCAAACACTCCTGGAATATCCTTCCTTAAACTTCCTCTGCTGTGAGTAATCGTAATAAATCTGCTTGACTCTCTACTCTTATATCTATTTATACCTCATTTATGGCCCTCATTGTTTGTATGTGTCTTATGTTTACTTGTAAACATTGCCTCCTGATCTGTAGGTAAAATTTATTACTACTTACTTGTTGCTAGGCACTTTCCATGGATTACTCGGTGAGCTTGCTACATGATCCCATGAGGTAGATACCATTGTTACTTTGCTTTTATGATTAAGGAAATTGAAGGAAATATATGTTAAGTGTTTGGTCAATGTCTTACAGCTAGTAAATGAAGAAAAGAAGATTGGAAGGATCAAACTGATAGCCCCTTTAACATGTGTATTTATTTAAATATCTGTGGCTTTAAGTAGACTTTAATCCCTCAGAGGGCGAAAGATCTTTCTCCCTTATGTCTCAGGTGCTTAGCACATGACTTCACCCATAATAAACTCTTGATAAGTATTAGCTGAGTGACTAAATGGAAATACATATTTGCAAATCATGACAACCCAAATTTATTACTTTTAGTAAGTGGAGAATAAATATTACAGCAAATCAACAATAGATGATTAAGTTAACAGGAAAGGAAAGAGATTTTTGAAAGAAGTGCAATGAAAAGTAAAGGTAAACCATATTCAGTCTCATCAGAACTGAAAAGTAAAAACATCCATTTTTAGTTTTTACTTACATATTGGAAGACAGATGATGGTAGAAACCATCTTCTCTTAAATGCCTGGCTTTGTAGACCAACCAAGTAGTGAAGAACCCAGAATCTTAAGCCAGGTTGACTGGCTGGCGGTTGAGTCCCAGCCCTGCAGCTTGTTGGTAACATCTCTGGGCTTCTATGTCCTCATCCATAAAATGGGCTGGTGGCTGTGCTTTCTTCAGAGGGTGATTGTGAGGATTCAGAGAGTGGATGTTTGTAATTTTCATAATATTGACAGTAAATCCTTATTGAACACGCGATTCTTGTGTTTTCAGGAGAGGCCAGACGGAATCCCGTATTCGCTGAGTGCCAAGCACGTTCTAGGGGCACCACGTGTCATTTTTCCAGCTGAGGCAGGTACCATCAGCCTTTTCGTACAGATGGTGAAACCACAGAGCAAGAAGCCGGGAATCCATCCAGGGCCCACATTCAGTCGAGGAACTAACGTGACTCCTAACCCTATCTGTTAACACCACATCCTCCCTCAACAGGCTGTAAGCTTCTTGAAATTAACCTGGATGTTTATTTTTGATCTGCACACTACCCATCATATGGTATTTCACAAACTGTAATTACTAATAATCACTGAAGGAACACATATAGATCGAGAACCTGAAATAAATTTCTGTCCTTAAGAGACTTAAAATGTATTTGGATAAATAAGATACTTCAGGAGAGAGCTAATGATATAAATAAATTTGACATAAATGCCAATTGAATTAGAATTAAGAAGTACTTTTAGGAGTTCAGAGACAATCCTTTGCATGCTTATTTAATACTTGATAGTTTTCTTTAAAGGTAACTTATTTAAATCTCTATTTTCTTCTTTCCATCTCTGAGGTAATGAAATTTGCTGAATGGCCTTCCCTTTGTTATGGTTTTTCAGGATGGTATTCATTGGTTTACAATAATTTCAATGTTTCTCACTCTCCATAGATAAACAGTATTGATCATACGGCCTTAAACATCCATTTTCCTTTTGTACTCCTTCAGAAGATATTCAGTGATATTAGACTGCAGCAGGCTATGTGACCCGAGGTGGGAGACAGACCTCCCTTTGGTCTTCTAAGTGTTCGAAGCCATGCTTAATACGAAGCAACCTGTTATCAATTAGCAAAGGACAGTGAGGAGGCAGATGAGATCCTGGTGAGAAGAGAACAAAGTCGATAGGTCTCAGTCTGAACACCTGTACTGAAGGAGAGCTGAACACACAGGGAAATACAGTGACCGCTGCAACAGGTCATGTGTCCTTGAATAGGAACACAGAGAGCACATCTTCGACATGCAAACATCAGGCTGGGAGGGGACACAAGATGGTGCAGCTTACCCAGGGCACTCTGCCTGGTGATCATCCTCGGACATGGAGGGTAAGGGGCTTATTCTTTGTACAAGGATGTCAAACGCAGCCCATGCTCAGGATTTGAGAACTAAAGGGACATTATAGATCCTCATTCCTCAGAAGAGAACTACTGGGGACCCCAATAGGCAAACTGATGCTCTCAAAGTCGTACCATTAAGTAATGCCAGATTCAGAGCTGAGACAGAAAACAGGATCTCGATGATTAAAATCATGTCTTTATGCTAGATTCTGTCCTGGCCCTAGGAAACATTATGCCAAGCATCAGGGTTTTTGATTATTTTTCTTCTCCATTTATCACCCGTCTACCTGGGCTGCTGCCCCAACCCCCCTGCCACAAGTGTCCCCCCTCCCCATTTCCCCTTCCTGTACCGCCATTAGCCAAAAATGGCAGTACTTAATTAAGGATGGACACACTGGCTGAGAGGTAGTACTGGAAATGTACTGTGAGGTTTTGGAGACTGAGTCCTCCCCCGTATGCCAGGAATGGGGCTCTGATTGGAAATGGCAAGGTGCGGACAGTGACTTTAGACATATGAGGCCAATGCTGTCACCTGAGGGCCATGGAAGGCAGGAGGTCCACCTGATGTCCTGGGTGATCCAGCAGAGGAGGTTTCCCTCCAGGGGTGGCCAGTGTTACCCAGTGGCTCCCAATGCTCGGGATAAAATTTGCAAGAGGACAGGAATACGTCAAGGAAGGACTTTCAATGAAACGAAATCGTGACTTGCTGGCTTGGAAGGCTCCCAGCTCTCCAGATGCCAAACAAGACTAAAATTAAAAAATGGCTTCTGAGCAAACATCCAATCCAGAGCGCTGTCAGGAAAGCCTGGTGCGAAGACAAGGGTGAGAAAGTTGTTGTGAAATGCTCCGTGAAAGCTTGGAAAGATCAGCCTCTGCTGGACCCAGGCCCTCCGAGGTGATGGGGGTGCGCCCTGTGGTCCTCTACATCAGACAGTGGCCTTCTGCCCACAAGAAGGTTGGTCAGCAGAAGCCTGATGGCTTATTTTTCACGCAGTCTCGGTGAAAGTGTCGCAAAATTCAGTGACTTGGTTCCTAGCAAGGGTGTTAGTCAAGTTGTTAAATTGTGCAGACGTCTCCGCAGAGCTGGAATGTATTCCTCTCTCTCAGAGAGGCTCCAAGCAGAGACAAGACGGAGCCCGCAAGGGAGGAACCCCCAGCTCTTCTCATTCTGGAAATGGTATCCCCCTCTTTCCCCTTTCTTCGTCCCAGCAGGCTCGGGGGAACACAGCTAGGTTGCCCCCCTTCAAAAGCCAGCACCTTATGCTTGTTCTCTGCTGTGGTTGGGTCTCCCCCCTGCCTGGCATAGCGTGAACCCCAATCCTACCAATTCTCTCTGAGGCTTTTCAGTGAGCAGGGGAGCGCTTTCTTTGGGAGAGTTTTACTCTCAGACTCTCTGGAGAATGAGGTAAGGAAAGAAAGAAACGAAAGTAATGTAGGCAGTTACAAAGATTCCTGGGTTTTACGCATTCTGAAGTCCACAGACAGCCTCCTCCCGGTGCCTAACACCCCGGGGCCCCTAAGCAGCATGTCTTAATGAGGATCCAGGGACTTACACAACTTCTGTGGACAGGTTCCGGGTTAAAGTCTAAAAAGTTTATTTTTAGCAACGTGTTGGAGTTTTTATAAGCAAATGTTCGTTGTACATTTACTTTTGAAAAGTTAAAAACAGCATGTGGATATAATCGGGTTTGAAAGAAAATAGATACCCATAGACTTAAAACAGACTCTTCTCAAGTGTACTACAGACCATTTATAAAAATTGTGACTGACTCATAAGTCAGGTATTAGCAAACAAACACCAAATAAAGTAACTGGTACCATACGTTCTCTGAACCCAATGCGATGTTATTAGAAATGAATAAGAGAAAGAAAAGGTAACCAAAAAAGACCTCATAATTTTATAAAATTGAATACAGTCCTCAGTAATACAGACTTCTAGTCCACAAAGCTGAGCCAATGGCCAACGCTGCTAAGGGCCCTCTCTACCAAAGCAGAGACAGATGCCAAACCCCAGGTATGACAGCACTGTCTGGTGGCAAGTTGACTCCATGTGTCCAGTTCCATTATGGTGGGGGCCCATAGCCTTACTTTCAGTATGGATTCGACTTCCATGCCTGCCATATCTCTTCCAGACCTACCTCAGGAAACTTATGAAATGCCTAATTCTCTTTCATAGTATTCCACACAACACTATTTCTGACCAAGTTGTCTCTCTCTCTTTCTTTCTTTTTTTTAAATGGCAGAGTACACAAGGCAACAGACTCGTACCATGGCATTCACTCATGTTATGTGCCCAGTTGTGAGATGCAGCTGGCTCCTGACAATTCAGGTACAGCATCAACTGTGAGAAAATACCTCCTGGGTGTGGGCTATTGTCCTATAGGGTGGATTGAATGCAGTGCAAGATCAATGAAGAAAGAACGCTGTCTCTCCACAGCTGGAACGCTGGACCAGAGAACCAGTGGTAAAAGCAGCAATAGTACCTCTCACTCTTACACCTGAGGCCCATCTGCAAAATCCTTGTTATCCATCACCATGAATTTGGACTCTGCTCTGTCAGAAGTCTAGGGCCTAAGGGACAGGTGATTCATCACAGGATATAACAATGTCTCCACTGAGACTGCCATTTTGCTTTCCTCATGCCATTGATCCAATAGCCCCACCATATTCTATGTCAGCCGGGGGGTTTATCCTGTCAAGCGTGGGGAGTTAGTGCTGCTGCTGGCAATGTGAGTGAGGAGGAATGTGCTAGAATCCGAGGTAATGATTTAGAGTACCTCGTTCCGATGTCAGGTCTGGTGGGAAAAATTCGTGCAAGACTTCAGCAAGTCCATACAGACAAGACCATAAGGGGCTCAGACCCTGTGGAAATACGGATTTGGGTCCTCCACTACAACCCCCCACACAAATAAAGAACTCACCCAGCTAAGATGCTCCCATGCAATGGGTGGAAGGAGAACCCATTTTAAACATCAGTCACAATCTCTTGATTAATTGTAGAAACTAAGACCCTAGTAACTACCCCTCTTTTCAGCTTTGCTTTCTTAAGCATGTATTTGTAAAAGTGAAACGATTTCCTTCTCCCTTTTTCACAGCATGAATAAAAGGAGTGCTGAAGGGGGTTAGCCATTAAGTCCCTAGCGTATAGGACAGTAAGGTGGGATTATGACCGACCTGGAAGAGGAAAGGGTATTACCCAGAGATGTGTACAGTGATTGGTGGACTATGGCCTCCCTTTTAAGGGAGTGGGTGAGTGTAAATAAAGATGGCTGAGAGTGCAAGTAGGTGCCCACGGAAGAGAAGGCACGTTGGAGAGGAGTCACAGCGCCGGCTCTCAGCGTATCTTCTAGTAAGTCTTTGCAGGAACTCAAAGCAGAAATTTGCATTTCCCAGCTTCCTTCACAGACAGGGTTCTGAAAATGAGTTAAGTCCTTCCAGTTAGATAAACATATGAGATCTGGAAGGTAGAAGTTAGATGGAAGCTGTGTTCCTGGATGTTTCAGAAAGCTGAGTCAGGGTGTGTATATATATATATATATATATACACATATATATTTTTTTTTCCTTGCGTGAATAGTCAAGACTCCACTACCCCAGCATTTTAAATATTTTATCAGTACCCAACACTCTATATTAACTAATTTTATGCCTAAAATAGTTGGAGTGGTTTCATTTCCTTAATGGAATCCTTCCTGGCACAATTTTTAATGAAGAAATGTTAGAGGCATTCCCCTTAAAATAAGAGAGGATAGGAAGATGGCCATGCTTACTACTTCTGTTCACTATGAAGAGTGGAGGAAGGTAAGAAAAAAGAAATAGCATTTATAAGAATTGGAAAAGAAGAAACAAAACTCATAGACTGTGGCCAGGAGAGCATATTGTCAACACCTGCTCTTGACCATGAGAATGTCTTCTAGGTATGGCCCCTGAGATATTCTCACTCGTGGATCCTAATGTTCTTAACACTGTTTGCAACAACACAGAGTTGATTTTCGAAGTCGTAGGTTATCACCAGGTTGAGAATTCCAATCTCTTTCTTACCTGTTAATACAGTGGACAAAATATTTCCCGAGGAGCATGTTTTGTAATTGTGCACCTTTGCACAGGCAGATCATTCTGTTTTTGTTTGGGGATCTCTACTACTGGAGAAAAGGGAAAAGTCTTTGTATTTAGAGAGTATAAACTCTGAAACTTCAAGTACTAGTTCTTGGTACTAGTTCCAACTTCCCAAATACTTCAGATTCACAGATTTAGTCCCTCATCTACATTTAAATAGTGCTATAATCTTTCGTGTTTTTCTCTTTCTGGTTAAACATTTCTGTGTTTCTATAGCATAGTTTGAGATTATCTTGAATTCTGACTATTGAACTCCATTTAATACGTCCCTGTGTCTTTTTCCATCTCAACCTTTGTGCTACGCACTTAGCATGACATTTTTAGTGTGCACTTGACAGTTCCATGATAGAGTATCGGTTACATATTTTATTCTAGAGAATACATTTCTATTAATTTATACTTTTTCATGAAGATTAGTAGTAGCCATGTTGCCCTATTGACCCAAATTCCGTTTTTATCTATCCTGACATCCATCTGCTAGAGGACCTAGCTGAAATAGCCAACAGACGTCAGACTCAACCACCTCCATCTGGGAGAGGAGAATAAATCTCACTGTCACTGTTTAAGCTTGGCAGCTCTTGTTCTTAGTGGGGATTCCCCCCTCTGTTCTCCACTCTCCTCTGTCTGTAGACACTCAACAGCCACCTAGTCTTAATACCCCACACTAGAATTTCCTAGCCCAACAACTGACCTCCCCAGGCACTGATATGCACTGTTTTATCTCACTGGAGACGTACTCCCACTATCTCATTTGGTTGCAGCTCTAAGAACCTGTCTATTCTTTGCCAATCTTTTCCTCCATGTGGGCTAAAGTATAATCTGTATTGCAGACCCTGTCAGGATCCACATTAATACCACTGGGAGGGCATGGGATGAGGAAATTTTACCCGTCTGACTGTTACACCTCAACACCTCAATGAGCCAAGCAGGATAGAAAACTGTGCCCAGGCCACATCTCCCGTGGTCTGGTGGACATTGCCATCTTTCTTCCCTATCTTGCTTCCCCATGAAAGAGTCCTGCTTTCCAATGGCAGAATGAAGCTCTGTGGATTGCTTAGAGCCCCAGAATGAATCACCTTTCTCCTGAGTTCCTCCTATCTTTTCTCTGCACCTAGTTATTTTTTCTTTTCATGTACATTCCCACTGATATCTTAGTCATTGGAGAACAGCCTGAACGACTACATCAGCCTCTTCAAATAGACATTTTTTCCTTACTTAGGTCATATGTTAGTATATCTTCCCGATTTCATTATGACAGTCTTCTATCATTCTTGAGCTCTTTTCCCTTTTAAAGTCTCCTGCTGTTGGAACATACCTACGTTTGCTCTTCGAAGTTTAGAGAAAACCTGATTCTTTTAATTTATTTGACTCAGCCAAAATTGCCGGTGATACAAAAATCAGTGATACAGCATGCCTTTGAAGACTCATGTCCAGTAGGGCTAGATGGGCAAGGGAAGACTGTGCCTTACAGTATAAACTGGTAAGGGTTCCACTAGATCGTCTGAGCACATATGTGAGGGCACTGAGGGAAGTCCAGGGCACCCTGCAGAGGTTTTGCAACGTGAGCAGGAGTTTGCCTAGTACAACTCAATGATGGTGCATTTCTGACAAATGGGGCAGCATACATCAACGCCTTGTTAGATGAGAGAGCATATGTGTCTGGAGAGCAGGGAAGACACTGTTATGGCTGGAAGATGGTGTAGAGTAGGGGAGTGATCAGCAAGGACGGCAGGAGCGAGATTATGAAGAATGTGCATGTTCCTGCTAGAGTAGAAATCTCATCAAACAACAAGAAATAAGAAGGATCCACATAAGAACCTTCAACCAAGAAATGATCAATTCTATGCTTTTGGGGGGAAAACCCCTCTCTGAGATCTTACAATTAGTTTGGGGGAATTCTAATATTTTACTTTTATAAGACAGGTGGCTTGAAACAATTCTTTTTGGAGACCACCTACCCGCCCAGCATCGGTTACAGAGCAATGCTCACACATGCTGGGAATTGCAATTTCTAGGGTTAATGCGTCTGGGGTGTTTATCCACCCCACCTCTACATGAGTATCCCCCCCCCAGGTCAGCATTCACATTCCAAGTTCAGCCACGCATAGCTGGTTGATGGATAGCAACGGAAATTGCATATTAAAGCTTATTTGGGGATGTATGGAAGTGTTGGGTCACCATACTGTACGCCTGAAACTAGTATAACACTGTATGTTAACTACCTGGAATTAAAATAAAAATTAAAAAAAAAACTTACCTTGGGACCATGGGAGAGACGAGACTGAACATTTTCTCAACGTATTACCCCAGCACATCTTCCTGTGTCCCTTAGATGCTATGAAAGACATGTTGTCTGCAAGTATGATTTGAACTTGTTCACTATTATATCACGAGGAGCTGTCACGGGGCCTAGAAGCTAATCTAAGCATTCAATAACATTTATTGCATGAATGAAAGAAGAAAGCCAAAGTCTCACTGAGGCACAGTACAGCCTTGGCAAGTGGTTTGCGAGACGGCAAATGAGGAATTGTTGAAGTGATAGAAGATTCTAACAGGTTTGTGTCAGGCAGAAATGTGGTAGGGCCCTGACTCATCCCCCAAACTTGACCTTGAAATATTCACTTCTTCTTTTTGCATGTCCTGTCCGTTCAGGTAGAGAATTTGTCTAAATTCACGAACTAATTGCAGGTTCAAATGCAAGTTTAAAGATTCCAAAAGGTTGTAGGGGAAGGAGACTTTTTCCACCACTTGTGTTTTTTAATTCTTTCTTTCTTGGTTATGCCTGAGTTATGGAATGCATAAATCCATACAGTGACTGGGGCTATAAAAGAAAAAAATGACATACCTGTGAGTGAAAGGCAGTGCAGGACAGAAGAATTGGAAGTATTTACTTGTCACTGGATGTCTCCTTGTTTTCTGAGTCTGACCCAGCTTTAAAACAGTTAACGTTTAATCTCCTGTTCTTTCATTCATACACTTAGCCTGAATTTAGCACCTGATATTACCATAGACTATGCTTAGAGTTGAATGAGGTTAGTTTTCTTCTTATGTGTCTGTTTACCTCTTCAAACTTCCACAGGACATATCACCTCACCTTATCATAATTATCACACAATAACTTCTATATTGATCGGTTTGTCAACGAGCAATAGAAAATGTGTAGGGAATGGCAGGGGCCAGAGTTAGTCATTTTTCCATTGGTGGCTGAAGCATTGTGTCAACTCAAGAGCAGTCTTCACTTGCATGTCTAAAAAGGTGTGAACAGTCTACATATTATTCATAGACTAGCAACTCCGACAAAAGCAGATCATGATATTTAACCTCTGGAAAGTCACTTTAAAGGATATGTAGGCTTACCCTGTGTATTACTTAGGAGAAATCAAGATTGAGAGAAGTTACAGTGAAGTACCCCAAATCACACACTAAACTGATAGCCACGTCAAGGCAAGAACCGTATTTTGTTAATCCAATGTTGTTTCTACAATAGTTTGTGTTGGTTAGTGTTATATGGGGTCATAACCTACAGAATATATGTTTTCCTTGGCATACTCCCTCACAGAGTAGTCATTAATCATGTGATTTCAAGCATTGCTCATTATAGCTGCCATTTATTAGGCACTTTTCGAATACAAGGTACTTTATGCTCATAACTGGCCTAATGTTCATGACAGCCTCATACAATGGATATCCTCCTTCCTATTTCCTAGATAAAAACAGTGAGGCTTAGGAAAGTTCACAGCCTCACCCCACTGCCATGCTGCCATTAATCATGAAATGAACACCCTAACCCAAATTTCATCTAACGAACATCTCTGTGCCCCTAACAAGTAAGCCATTCTTCCTGAGTCAGACTTAGCCTGAAATGAAGAGATAAGATAAGCCCTTCTCTACGGTTCCTTTCTACTTCAATAATCAATGATTTGGTTCCGGGTACAATTACGGAAGTGTGTGCACTCAAAAACAATCATTAACTCAAAGTTAAAGCTCCCAGGAATTCAGTGCTAAAACTTGTATTTACTTTCCCCCCCACAAACTACAGTGCACTGAAGTCACAGCTCCTGCCTGTCCAACAGATGTTTGTTGTCACACCGAGAACAGCGGGGGGCTCTAATGGGAATGGCCTGCAAGGTGACCCCCTCCTCACTTGTCCATTAACATGCTTACCTGCTTTTAATTGAAAGGATGGTATACCTACGATTTTCCTTTGAAACTGTACAAGCGTCATGATGACAAACTTTGATCTTTTCCCAAATACCAGAAATGTATGACTTAAAAAAAAATGTTCTGCTTTCTTACTATTTTAGAGGGACAGCTAACTGTCTTTGCAGGGGAGCCGGCGATCCGGTCAGTTCATTTTCTTTGTCCTGGCGTCCCTCTGTCTGCTTGTTCTGCTCGC